TAGGATTAGCATTACATGATTTGGATCACGAAAAAAGTTGGGAAACACACTTGACATTTATTTTGAAAACATGCCTTGTACACTTTGAAAGGTATTTATAAATTTATTGAATAGTTATCTCTTTTACTTTTAATTTAATTAATTTATTTTTTTTTTTAGAAATTTATTTCATAAAACATTTACTATAAGCACGAAAAATTTAATACGACAAATTCCTAATGCAACTAGTAAAGAACAAGTTCATGATCTTCTGCAACAAATAGAAGATACAAATGATGAAGGAATAAAAGGTATATTATTTATTTATTTTAGAAGTTTAAAAGAATTAATATAAATTTTTAAAAATGTTTTTTCTTATAGAATGGTTGAATTATTATCGACAATCATATGTTTTATCTTCCTTAAATAAATACGTTTCAAATGTTGATCATGAGATTTGGAATAAAAGTGGATCAGATACTAATAATGCTGAAGCGGCCCATTCCATGGCTAACAGAGAAGGAAAGCAATTGAAGTTATTATCAGCCATTTTAAAGTTAGTTTAAGTTTTTTTAATTACCAAATTACATTTAATATTATGAATATTATGTATTAATTATAAATAATTTAAAGAGGAAAAAGGTACGATGCAAGGTGTTATACAACGATTGAAGTTCATGACAAAAATGGAGTACCTTACACTCATAGAGACAAAAGTGATGTTAAGAGATTACAAAATTCAATTGTACGCAAAAGTAAGTAAAAACATTATTTATCAATTAATTTATTTATTTATAAAAATTTTTAAAATTTTTTTATAATATATAGCATCTCGTATTCAAAAGAATAAAGTATCTCTTAATGATAAATTACCCAAGTCATCAAAAAAAAGAAAATTATCACCTTCTAATAGTAGAACACCTATTAGATCAAAGGAAAATCATGAAAGAGCTGAAAATATTTTATCAGACAATGAAGAAGAAACATTTTCTAAAGAGATTCATAAAAAAAATCTCGAGTTAGAACTTAAAGAGAAGGAAATTATATTAAGGGAGCGTGAAATTAAAGCACGAGTAGCTGAGGCTGAAGCACGAATGATGGAAGCTAAAGCCGAAGCATTAGAAATAGAAAATCAACAAAAACGTTAAAAAAAAATATATTTAGATTTTTTTGTTAAATTTATAATAATACGTTTATAAATCATAATAAAGAAAATATAAATTGCGTTTACAGTTCTAATACATGAAAAAAAATTTTTTTTAAAAAAAAAATCAAAAACGTGAAGTAGTCAGTAGGGATTTTTTTTTATAAAAATTTCCGAATTCAATGTATAGTCACGTGAAATTTTATTTTCATACATACATACGTTTTCTCTAATTATATAATTTAATAAAAAAGTATGTATGTATGAAAAGTACACCGTATACCATACATTGACCACCATACATACATACATAGGAATCCATACAGTACATGTTTCCGTCACACCTGTTACGCGTGTATACAGTGCATCGTGAAAAATTTTCATGCAAAAATAAGTCTTGTCCAATGGATTTCGGTGGATGATTAAACCAATCATATTTAAGGCTGTCTCTTATACACATCTAGATGTGTATAAGAGACAGCTTTTAATACGCGTAACGCGTAACGCGTAACGTTTATTCAACAAGGTTGAATATATGTCTAATCGTAGATCATTACTAATTGAAGTCGAATTTTTTAATTTTAGTCGAATATAGGCCGAATTGTATTAAGGCCGAATGTTCCTTTTTCGACTAGTGCAAATTCATAATTCCGCCCGCGAATCACGTGACGGAACACAAACTTCCTAAAAAGGAAATTTTATCTCCCAATAAAATTCAAGTTGCTATCGCACAAGGTTGTACAAATTTCCAAAAAAGGAATTTTGTTCATCGATCACTGTAATTTTTCGTAATCACGTGATATGTGTTTAAACACACCTATTATAAATAGTATAAAAAAAAATCGGTATTTGCGAAATGATTAATCGCGATTAATCGATTTTAGAATCGATTCTAATAATGGGAATCGATTCCAATTCCTAGTCTAGGTCTTCTAAAGCAGTTAAAACTGTGTCATTTAAAGTTGCCTGCCGAAACTAAAAAGGAAATTCTGAAAGGTTTTGGCCAATCAAATCAAAAGCTGAAAATGCCAAAATTAGGCCGGAACTCGGTCTTAATTTTGGCCAAAATTAAAATTCGGCCAAAATCATGACATTGTGTCACGTGATATTACACAAATTTCCAAAAAAAGGAAATTTTGTTTTCCAGTAAAATCAAAGAAATATGTCGCACAAATATTACACAAAAT